TGAATAAAAGACAGTTCTACCGTGTATCTGTGTCCGGCTTAGGCTATCAAATTTTATATGATTTAGTGACAAAGGGGAGCTCTATGAATGGTGAGCCAAGGCGCAATTACGGCCGAGCTCGAATGAACTACGGACGGCCCAACAACCAGCTCCGGCTGAGCCGAGGCCCAAGCGGACGAGCCGAGGCTTATCGCCGGCCGAGCTGAGGCCCACTCTCCAGCCGGCCCCCGGGGGCTGCGAAATTCCAGCCTGTAATGGGCCGCGGCTCGTCCGCTCACAGTGTCTGAGAAACAGCGCAAGTGCACTCTACTAAATTTTCCGGTTGATATGTGTGCTTAGGTGCCGAGATGCTGCGGTAAAATTTGCGCGTGATCAAGTAGTAAAGCCAGTAATCTTAAGACTGTAAAGCACTTTTTTCCTCACAAACTAATTTAGCGTGCCTCTCAGAGCTTTAGATCTGTTAGTCTACTTAAAAGTTTTCAGTGATGTGTGTGTGTGTCTCCAAGTGGAGGCATATAACTCCAGTCAACGTTAACCGACGGCGATCGTCAGGAGGAAACAATCGCAGCGGTAAGACTTCCTAACGTTTGATTAGATAGGTAAAGGCACATGTTTTCCCATGAGGGGAGGCATGAGAAGATGCCTATAGATTACGTCATTATTGACTTCTTGCTATTCTTAGTAGGCGCGAGTATCGTTCTGAGTGTCTGGCGAAGCTAGGCACTGCATATCGCCTCCATGATCTCTAAACATACTAGTAGACTCTGATACCTTTTCCATTCTTATCAAGTAACTCTAACGCGCTCTTTGCCAAAAGTTGTTTAACCCTTTAGGACCCGAGTTTTTCCCAATAAGAGAGAGAACCGCTCACCTACTGTTTATGATAAGGTAGCATCTGAATAACAACAAAGCAAAGTTTTGAACCTTTTCTACAACAAGATGACTTCTAGTTTTTCTTCGAACTTTCCTCCAATTTTCCGGCCTTTTCTGACAAAAGTGAATCGCCAACTTATAGTGACTGTTCTCTCACACACCATACTTCACACTTTCGATATTAGTCAATGTAATTCAACTATCCCCCACAATGGTCGGCCGCCTCAACGTGGCGTGGGGGTGACACGGGGTGTCGAACTGCGATGCACAGCCGAGTGTATACTTTGGCAGGACCTTCCAAGCTGTGAAGGAGTTCGACGTTTCCGGTTTCGGCCGGTTGCCTAGCTAAGATCGGCCAGGCCAGATCTATCGCCGTCTGGTTTTCAGGTCGCTAGGCGGTTCTCCCCGCTCCAAGCCCGGGATGAGCGATCGCTCCGTGGAAATCAAGAGTTGGCCTAGTAAGTCTGCTCTTGTGGGGGAACAAATCTTATTACTCAGCAGACAGCAAGAAGATGAAGAAAACCCTGTACATCGGATCCCGCTTACGGTGCCGGGTGGTAGCAAGAACGATGTCAGGGTCCTTAAGGCGCCTTTTGGATCGGACAAAAACGACACGTCTGCCCGGACGACACGCCGTTGTAGGTGCAGAGCCTTATGCTCTGCACCTACAACGCCAGAAGCTCTTCTCGACGCTGCAGAGCACATCAAGTACCACATCATCGCTCTGTAGGAAACGAAGTCCAGGAAGAAGGACGTGCGACAGATGAGTGACGGGACCCTCATCGTGGTGAAAAGGTTCCATCACGAACCGTGGGAAGCGTTGGCTTTGTCGTCCGCCCATCTATCGTCCATCTTGTCGATTCGCACGAGATCCTATCACCTCGTCTAGGCATCCTACGATTACGTCCTCCACTTCAGAAGACCATCAGCATCATCGACTGCTATTATCCAACATCAGCAACTGATGAATTAGAACTAGATGCTTTCTACGAAGATGTGGAGGAGGTCGTCCGCAACGAAAAGTTTGGCTATGGGCTCCGGAACGAAAACGGCAACCGTCTTGTTGGACTTCTCTCCGCCGCACGACTTTTCTATGGAACTTCCATCTTCATGAAGAAAAAACATCGCCGGTGGACATGGGAATCGCCCAACGGAACGACTCACGTGGAGATCGACCACATTCTTATCAACCGAAGGTGGAGCTTGCTCGATGTTTCAGTAGTTCCATCGCTTCTGCAGTGGCTCCAATCACCGCCTCCTTTGAGCGAAGATAAAATCCAGTCAAAAGCTAGAAAAGAAAGTCTGTCACAGCGCCGCAAGAAGAAAGGAAGTTGTTGATAACGGTAACGGGCTGGAAGAGCTCATAACAAGTTGTGACTGACCCACATAGGAGGACCGAACGTACGACTCCACCGGCTTCTGAAAATGTGAGCCTGCGAAGAGTGCGCCTCAGCGACTTCTGAGAAGAAATTAGAACGCATTTCAAGAGCGCCAAGGAATTGATCGAAAGAGAAAGATATCCGAGGCAGGATCCGAATGCAACCCATCTCGAGCGACTGATAGTTAACGCCAGCGGCAGAACAGCTTTGTAGGAGGATCTCAGGAAGTACAGGCAAGCCAAGATACTGGAAACAGACGAAGGAAAACGAAGAGAAGTGCAGAGGAACCTCTTTGAATATCATGTTGGCTGCACTATTGAATGAAGACGGGACTCCGACTTCTTCTGGGTACAAGAGGGATTTTATCGCGAAGAACAACTTCTACATCAACCTCTTCCGCTCATCAACACCCGTGCGATGCCCGCTGTTCCCACTGAAGAAGTACCACCACGAATTTTACTTGCCGAATTGCGTGTCGCGATAGAGAACCATGAAGACATCCACGGCTCCAGGACCAGACCATGTTTCCGTCAATTTTCTGCGAGCTGGAGACAACATCTACACGAGACTTTCGCTTCGCACTTGGCATCTTATCTCCAGAAGGAGAGGATTCCCGACCAGTGGGAACGAAAGATTCAACAAAGAATGTGTGGAGCACATCGAGACGGTTTCGAGGGTCATAGAAGTTTGCCGGGAGTACCGACTGCCTCTCGTCCTAACCTTCGACTACGAGAAAGCTTTTGATAGCGTCGAAATTAACCCAATCCTGTCAGCGCTAGTAATCAAGGAGCGGACCAATTTAGAGGACGCTAGCCGACCGCTATAAGGACTGTACAACGACGATGCAGCTATTCCATCGCCCCCTGACCATTCCAATTGGGAAGGGGGTCCGACAAGGCGACACAATTTCGCCGAAGCTGTTCACTGCGGCCTTGGTGGGTGATGAAATACTGGATGGGACGAGAGAGGCATACGAGTTGATAGTAGAATTTCATCGAACCTTCGTTTTGCGAACGACATCGTTCTCTTTTAGAGCGGTATCACTAAAGCAGAGACGATGCTGAAGTAGGGAAGAAGATCGGATTGCGAATAAATCGGAAGAAGACTCACTTCATGAAAAACGCCCTTTGCGAAGATGCAGAAATGGAATTGGAAGGCACCCCTATCATGGAGACGTCTTCTTACGTGTATCTCGGGCTCGATGAACATGGAGAACGACTTGAGGGAAGAACTTAACAGGAGAAGAAGAGCAGCCTGGGCCGCCTTCGGGTCTCCAAAGAAGCCACCGACCAACTGACGGACCCGGAGCTTCGTGCCCACCTGTTCGACTCAACCGTTCTCCCGGCGCTCTGTTACGCAGCTGAGACTTGGGCTGACACCGTAGCCACTTTGAAAGCCTTGAGGACTACCCACAGACCGCTAGAGCGTAGTCTTCTGAAGATGACCCGACACAAACAACATTTAGTCGGACTTCGCAGTACGGATATGAGGAGAATGTCCCGTCTTCGTGACCCAGCGGATTACGTTGCGAAAGTATGAGAAGAACAGACGACAGATGGACACTAAGAACATCGGAGTGGATTCCTCGCGAAGCAAAACGTCCCCGAAGAAGACCTTCAACGAGATGGGCAGACGTGTTCGTGGAATAGATGGACCAGCTGAGAAATCAGCTGGATACGATTATTGCACCAGCAACTCGTGGACGCAGCCACCGACGTCAGCCAAGAAGATCGTGGATGTCTGAAGCGAGGGACAGGGAGAAATGGAAACTTCTGAGCTGGAGCCCGCACGTCACGTGAAGCCGGGCCATCTAAGTATCTAAGTAGGTATTCCAACTATTGAAGAGACAATTGACATTTTCTTAGCCAATGCTGCGATAGACAAACGTTATTGATTTTTTGAGTCCTTTGCACACAAAGATTCTTAGATTGCCAGCAGCACATGAATGAAATAGGGGTTGCAAACCACTTTTAGGAAAGCAAAGGTTGTCTGAAGCTAGCTGTAGCAAAAAATAACAGAAATCTGCTGCTGCGCCACTATTACTGTCCTCTAAAGTTGATGCGGGCAATTGTCACCACAAGGCCCCAAGGGGTTGAAGATTTTGTTCCATTTTGTTCCCATTAGCTGAGAAAAAATGTGAGCCATTCTACGGTATTTTCGTAACGATCGTATGTTTCATTGTTGGACTGGAGGCCTATTATAAGATGTGATAGGGAGACTATCGTTTATCGTTAATTTTACAGATAAGATTCATGGCACGCAGAAAGACGGGCGTTGTGGTCAAGCACTTCCTCGTCCTTAATGTCTAATGTTTCAATCACGAATCTTTTGGGGATAAACGCATTGGTTTTGGTCCGTGAGTATGATGACTCGCATAAACTACTGAATTCCTTCTTCATCACTCTTGCTGCTCTGACGAGCAAAAACTTGACATTTTTTGAAATCAACACCTCGAATCACATCAGAATAGCATTATTTTAAAAAAAATACGAAACCAACCCTCTAGGTTGTTTAATAATATAGCCACTTCTTTAAGTTAGCAAATTTTCTGTGCAAGCCTTTGAGTCAGTTTTTGATAACACGAAATCACTGAGCAAACATTGGATACATTCTCTGCCTCCAGGGTTTCAAGGATAACAATGAGATAGGACAAACGATGAGCTGCTATTATTCGAAGTAAGCAGTGACCCGAAATGGCAGAGGCGGCAAAAAATGCTATGAGAATTCACAAAGTCAAAATGAACGAACCTGGTATATTCACAACAGGGCATGGCTCCATCTGTAAAGTAAAAATTGGTGTAGGAAGGTGGAGATAAAAGAGCAACCAAAAACAAATGTAAGCAAACAGCCATATGTCAAATTCTTTTTGAAGGAAAGGTCGAAGTAAAAGCGAAAGGAAGAGGTCGAAAAATGAAAGATCATTGAAATGCAAATTGTATCGGGTGAAAAGGCAAGTCTTATCTTCCAATCTTTTCTCTCTTCGATGGAAAAAGGTATACAAATTGACGCAGACTGTACGTATTAGGTCGGTGCAAAAGTTTTGTCAGTTTTTTAAACCCACTCACAAATCCTCTTAAGAAGAAGTTAACAAATACTTTGAACTAAAACCAGCGCAGAATTTTTCATCTCTTTTTAGCAGCTATTTATGGCGCAGTTATGCGACGGGTACTGAGATAATCGTCGATAACTTTCATTTTTACCATGTCTAAGTTTCGCTAATTTTCCGATTATTTGAGACTTTTGAAGGAGCTTCAATAAATAGAGATACAGCAGGTACGGCGAATTTCTCGCAAATTAATGCAATTTTTATATTCTTTGACTTATTTTCTAGATTTTCCACAATTTTGAAAACAAGATGTTTCTGCTTTGACTGGTCTGACTCAAGTAAATGTTTTAGGTCATGCCGCTTTTTATATCTAGGGTATAAGTACGAGTCTGGAATAGACCATCCTTAGAAATTTACAATTTACCTTTTCCTGGTTGTTGTGTGCGTAGACATACTTCTCATGACTGACTTCCTTCCTTGCGCATGGCTTCAGCAACTCATTTTGGGATGATAGGTTATATAACTAAAATATATCTTTCGAAGCGCAAAATATTCAGATCTGTAAAAGATATTTATAGTCTTGGTGTAAGATCGTTTTCAGCAGCTATTGGCAAAAAATGATGATGCGATAAAGGACGTAGAAATTCCGCTAAATTTCTCGCACTGCTCTTACTACATATTTGCCACGTGAACACATTTGGAAGATATTTACGGCCTACAACAAGTCCTTATCTGCTACTATAAGCGGAAATACTAGTTTTCGGGGTCCGCGGCGGAGAAGTGCCGCAAGAATGCCGCCGGCATGCTGTCCATCAACAAACAAAGGCCTCGTTCTCAGCCAAAATGCAATAGTATGACACCAATTTTGGTGTGTGCATGCGCGTTGGTGGACCGGAACTATAGCCCAAAAATTTATGAAAACTTATGTGAATGAAAGCTGTGCCGAACTTTTTTCTGAATTAGCTGGCACCGTGCCAGCTGGGTGACTTTTCTACATAAAATTTATTTATTTATTTTTATTTATTTTATCTATGCATACAATGATGCGCCAAACGAACGTGATAGTTCAATAAGTTTGTCTCGTTTTAAAATAAATGATGAGAAATAAAGAGCTAATTTCTCGAAAGATCAAACTATTAGGTTGGTGCAAAAATAATGAGCGTTTTTATTTGCTTGCTTTAACAAAGCAACCAGACTCAACCCAACAAAGAGTAAGGGGTACTGTTCGATAGAGCAAAGCAAGCTCTACAAGATGGCACTCATGCCTTTGCGCCATGCTCGATCCACGGAGAGTTCGAACTCAAAATCTAAAGATTTCCAAATGCCCAAAAAGTCGAAAAAAATCAGATCTTCGTCCAAATAATTTCTACGGACCTCCCACTCGCTCATATCAATACTATCGATATCTGATATCCATATGTGCAATTGCCGTATTTTTTCCTTGACTAGAAAACGAGAAAACGAAAATTCCCCTGATTTTCTCGAAGCAATGCTGAGCCGTTTTTGCATATGTAGTTCTATACTACAAGCCTAGATAAGCATAACTGTAAGTTTTCAGCCTATTTCGAGCGGTACTTTTCAAGAAATATCGATTTTAGCACTGAAACTGAAACGAAAAAATCCGAATTCGTTATTCTTTGAAAACCACCGCTCGAAATAGGCTGAAAACTTATAGTTATGCTTACCTAGGCTTGTAGTATAGAACTACATATGCAAAAACGGCTCAGCATTGCTTTGAGAAAATCAGGGGAATTTTCGTTTTCTCGTTTTCTAGTCAAGGAAAAAATACGGCAATTGCACATATGGATATCAGATATCGATAGTATTGATATGAGCGAGTGGGAGGTCCGTAGAAATTATTTGGACGAAGATCTGATTTTTTTTCGACTTTTTGGGCATTTGGAAATCTTTAGATTTTGAGTTCGAACTCTCCGTGGATCGAGCATGGCGCAAAGGCATGAGTGCCATCTTGTAGAGCTTGCTTTGCTCTATCGAACAGTACCCCTTACTCTTTGTTGGGTTGAGTCTGGTTGCTTTGTTAAAGCAAGCAAATAAAAACGCTCATTATTTTTGCACCAACCTAATATATAGTAAAAAGAAAATTTGTAGCCTACATTCAATAGGATTATAGATGTAAGTATGATGAGGAAGGATGGTTGTCATGCTGCAGCCATGGTGTGAATAACCTTTGAGTTATCACTCTCAAGCGAAAAAAGAGAAAGACACCTGAGCGAATGGGCTAATCCATGCGTGCCCAGGCGGGTTAACATCTTTGAGCTTTCTCTTACATCGCTCCCATGGATAGAAAGGCAGCAAAGTATAAAAGCATTTGTACGATAGGCCTATGAGTGAGGCTAAATAAAGTATGTATTAAATTATTATTATTATTAATATTATTAATATTATTATTATTATTATTTATTATTATTTTAAAATAGTACTTTAAAATGTATCTATACTGTAAAAGTTTACATACAGAGAAGAAACATTTTCATAATGTTTTCTTTTCAGCGTTTTATAGCAATTTTAAAATTACTCAGTCTGCTCCGCAATCGAAAAATCGGCTTTTTCTGCTTCTCAAGATGTGATTCATCCACATAAAAAGCTCAGAAATTTGTGAAAATGGTTCCATGAAATCAGCATGCATGAAAACCCTACTACATACTTTCACAGAATCCAAAAATAATGACTTGTCTTCAAAACTGGTCAAAGGGAACTTCGTACGAAATTTACAAGATCAAACGGGACTTCGTTTCGAAATTTCCCTGGTGCCAGCTCGTGCCGAGCCGTGAGCCGGTCTGCAGAACTACTTCGAGCTCGTTGCTCTTTCAGTATGCTCACATACTGTAAAAATCGCATCGAATTATTGCGATGAATGTATGGAAACGGTATAAATGGGCAAAAGCAAATGTTTGGTATTTTCGACTTTTGTTGGTATAAAGGTGTTATGCAGCTACCATATCATGCGTAACGCGACAAGTGAAGCTTAGCAATGTGAATCTGGACACTGCGCACGCTGACTGAAGACACTTTACTGTCAATTAATAGTAAAACTTTTTCTTTTAGAAAAGTATCTGTGTTCTGGTGAGTCCTCGATACGTGCGTCTTCCCTGCTCCTAGCAAGGGAATGACTAGAAATCGAAGCGGCCAATGCAAACAAGCTGCATACCACTAGATGCAGCATAAAATGCTGACTTCGAATCTGTATTCCATATCTGCTTAGCGCCAAGTGGGGGAAGTTATGAGCCGTTAGAGGCCGTTATTTCTGCTAAGAAATCGTGCATGCACGGCGTAAATTTGGCAGTGCAGAGCCATGTTCGGTTTGATGCTGACAAGGGAAGGAAAGTGGGTCGAAGTGGCCTTTCAGAATAAGATGGGTAACATTTTGTAGGGCTTCGAACGCTGATTTCAAATCTGCTTTCCTTATCTGCGGCGCGTTTTTGGGTGAGGAGTTATGAGGGTTTTTAAGGGGCGGAAGTCGATACAAGTACAATCAGGGACATCACACCACTGTGTGCCGTCTGGTGTAGTTGTTAGGGTGCCTTCATATCGCGCTGGCAGCCGCCGCTGGCAGCCCGTAGCAGCCCGTAGCAGCCGCCAGCAGCCCGTAGCAGCCGCCAGCAGCCCGTAGCAGCCGCCAGCAGCTCGTAGCAGCCGCCAGCAGCCCGTAGCAGCCGCCAGCAGCCCGTAGCAGCCGCCAGCCGCCAGCAGCCCGTAGCAGCCGCTGGCCGTTTTTGATCCGGAGCGAAAAATTACCAGAATCTTACTGCTTTAAGTGCTTTTACCTACGCTTTTCATCTTCCACGCTTTTTCTTCTCTTGCCGCGAATGTGAACTTGATTTACACATTATATTTGCTCCATTGTTCTGTTGCCGCACTTTGCATCCTCCTATCGGTGCCTACACTTCACTTTTGCAATCTGTTTTAACGATTGTCAGCGATTGTCAAAGTCAGAAAAACCCACCCACGAATCAATTCTGCAAACTTGCGAAATAGTAGAATGCAATTTAGATATGCGATATCTAACAAGAAGACTGAAGCAAAAGCATACTCAAAAAGTGAACAAATTGCACACTTACAGGAAAAAACATTCAAAGTCAGAGGGAATCACAAAGGAAAGAGACTTCTGCGACCTATGGTTTAAAGAATGAACTATACGGCGTCAAGTTGACACAAAAATATTATGTCAGTCGAACGACACACTGGTGGCAACAGAAGGAAAAGCGTGGAAAATGAAAAGAATAGGCAGGGGTACTAACAATAAGATTCTCAAAGTACTGATGAGTTTGCGTTCCTATAACAAAAGCGGCCAGCGGCGGCTACGGGCTGCTACGGGCTGCTGGCGGCTGCTGACGGCTGCTACGGGCTGCTGGCGGCTGCTGGCGGCTGCTACGGGCTGCTACGGGCTGCTGGCGGCTGCTGCGGGCTGTTACGGGCTGCTAGCGGCGGCTGCCGGCGCGGTATGAAGGCACCCTTAGTGTAATGGTCTTGCAAGCAAAGGCTCCCAGGTTCGAATCTTCTGCTGTGAATTCCATTTTGCTATTCATACAAAAAATTTGTTTGAGCATGAGCAGCGTCCATACACCACCCCCTGTTTCTTTTGTCAGAATCTCGAGGCAACAACTGCTCTCTCGAAGGTCTTTGCAAGTGATTTGAAGTAGAGGTAGAAATGTCAAAAGAATCAATTTGTCACGTAACACCCCGGTGAACGTAAGAGGTCACAATGTTCTCAACATGCAAAGACCCACGTTCATAGTTGGTAAAGCTAAAAAAAACGCACGTACAAGTTACGCAATCAAAAATCATTAACCTACAAGATGTTCTCGCCTGTTCTCTTGGCTTATTCCTGGTACGCCAGCGGCTACCTTGATGCACATCCGAGAGATTTTGAAACGCCCGCCTGCCCGACCGCACGTATGTTTTGCACATTTTGTCCTCTCCTTTCATCAATGCACATAGACGTTTGAAAACATAGAGTAAAAACTTTTTTGAGGAGATTTGCAGTTAAAAGAAGGAAGAGTTGATATATAGACGATACGCGTGCTCATACAAATTTTTCTGTAGATCAGCAAAAGAAAAACCACAGTAGGAGACTCGAATCTGGGAGCCTCTCCCTGCAAGACCACCACACTAACCACTACACCAGACGGCACACAGCGGTGTGCTATCCTTGATTGTACTTGTATCGACTTCCGCCCCCTAAAAACCCTCATAACTCCTCGCCCAAAATCGCGCCGCAGATAAGGAAAGCAGATTTGAAATCAGCGTTCGAAGCCCTACAAAATGTTACCCATCTTATTCTGAAAGGCCACTTCGACCCACCTTCCTTCCCTTGTGAGTCAAAACATGGAACCAGGTCACTTTATTCTTAAAGCCGAAAGGTAAGCTGAAAGTGCACCAGAGGCTCAAACTTGCAATTTTTAGGTACGGTTTTTTTCGCAATAAAACTGCTCATAACTTCGACCACAAACGCTAAGCAGATATAGCAAACAGTTTCAAAATCAGCGCTGAATGCTGCATCGAATGGTATGCGGCTTGCATGCATTGGCCACTGCCTCTGACCATTCCCTTGCATGCTTTCCTTACCTCCCGCTGCCTAAACCTCTATTTACCTCGTTCGCTTCCTTCTCCATCGGTCACCCTAAGTACAATCGTCTAAGGCCTAAGGCATACCTCTCGCGATTTCGCGAAATCGCCACATCCTCGCGACTTGGCGATTTGCCAGATGTCTAAAGATTAAGCATGCGAAGCTCCCAATGCATGGGTGCGTAGATTCCGTAAATTGTAACAAACACAGCAAATCTGGTCCAAGCAAAGTGCGTATACGACCAGCTATGGAGAGTCGTTGCAGTGGCAAATCGCGCGGCGACTAAAATCGCATGAGGTATGCCTTAGGCCCATAGATGCGATAGGTGAAAAAATTCCTCTGACCCCGTTCACTTTAGGGCCGGCATCTTGCTGACCCCTTTCACCTGAGGTTGAGACTAATCAAGGCAAACAGCTATTACAACGGAACTTTTTGTTTGGAAAGGAAACGCCAGCTGCTCTTATCCTCAGACATCAGGACTGCAAGAGAGTATCGAATCAACAACGTTTCGTTAAGAAACGCATGCTTGAGACCTTCTGCGCGCTCAAAGGGCGTTGATAACGAAACGTAATCAAAAAGTAAAAGGATGCTGATTTTTTGAATAGTTAACATTGTATCAATGAATACATACTTTGCAAAAAAGAGTTGAGCAAAAGTAGAAAAATCTGAACCGAGTAGCGATGGGTGCATGTTTACTGACAAAAAATCATACCATATCTCTTTTCACTAGAGAGAATAATAAAAATAAAACAACAGTTAGATTACTCGTTTTTCATGCTTTCGATTCATATATAAAAGTTCGAAAAAGACCTTCTTGGTTTGAAAATATAATTATCCAAAATTGGCTGATATTGTAGCTAGATAAAACTGCTCGTATCTCGCTTCACAGAGAAGCTAAGAAAAAAGAGACGGTCTAGGTCGATTCCTCGTGTCCTTAGCTATCGAATGGTATATAAGGTGTTGGTGCACAAAGCCTTCCCAGTCTAAAAAAGTCTTGCTCCGGCAACCCATAGAAAGCCGGAGCGGGGTGGAGCAAGTTACTATTGAATATCTCCACCTCATTTTTGAGAAACCACAAGTTTTTTCACCCGACAACATGTATACCATTAGAAAGCCCACAAAAAAAGGATTCGACGTAGACCGTCTCTTTTTCTCTAGCTCCCCTCTACTTAGAGTTACACGGGATTTTAGCCAAAAGATGTGTGTTTTTGTCGAGAAATTTCTGCGTGAAGAATGGATAAAGGTGCCTGATTTTCTAACAGCATCACAAAGCAAGACCTTGCCAGTAAACGTAAACCGTCTCTTTTTTATCTTTATTCTTTCTTTCAAAAATAAATTACAAAATAATTACACAAAATTAGCTGGTGAGTAGGCGTATAAAATTGCTCGTATCTCGCTCTACAGAGAAGCTATGAAAAAAGAGACGGTCTACGTCGATTCTCCATAATCTCAGCTTCCGAACGGTGTGAAGCATGTTAGGGCTTTTTTGCTTACCGGCTCTAAAAAGCACTTGCTCTGGTGACCGATAAAAGCCAATACATTGGGGGAGCTGGGTGGAGCAAGCTAATAGTAAATACCCCCACTCCGTTTTTAAAACTGGCAAGTTTTTCCGCTCAGCAGTCTATATACCATTCGAAAGCTCAGGAAAAGGGGACTCGACGTAGACCGTCGAATTCTTTCTAGCCGCCCTTTACCGAGAGATACACTGCATTTTATCTGAAATCATGTTCATTTTCAACAGCAGATTTCTGCCAAACGAAGACCTAATTACTGCTGGTTATCCATCTGCGTTACAGAGCAAGTCTTCATTAGCAAACGTAGACCGTCGACTTTTTCGTAGCATTCTTTTGGAGAGCAGAATGTGAGGACACAAAATTAGTTCATGAAGTATATAAAATCCCTCATATCTCGCGGCACAAAAGACCTAGAAAAAATCCGACGGTCTATGTCGATTCTATATGACCTCAGCGGGTGGGGGAACGAAAGCCGCCAGGTCCAGCCGCCTCCGCGGACTGCTGGTCCTGGAACGACATGCAACAACGCTGCGAAAGGACCAGCTGGCCGCGAAAGGCGGCTGGACCTGGCGGCTTTCGTTCCCCCACCCGACCTCAGCTTTCGAACGATATGTGACTTGTTGGGGCATTTTGCTTTCAGGGCTCACTTATCCCCTTCACCTTACAAGGATGGGAGTAGCAGAGACCCTATTCACCTGGAGAGGGCCCGGCTCCCCCTATCGCACCTAAGTTAGGTCTAAGGGACCAGCAACAGTGAATACATAATCGCGAAGCAATTACACTCGAAGCACATCCTTCTTAGCGCGAAATGAAAGTGAACTCTACTGCACTTTTCACATCATATCGTGGAAACTTTTGTTAGCCACTGATGAAGTTCCGTTCAGGTTGAAAAGTGCTAAAATCATTGATTTGATAAAGAGGGTAGAAGACTGCTTCAAGCAATTGCCGGGTTTTACTCGTAGGAAATTGTTTAATGAAAATTGAATGAAGTGATTTTTTAAAGCATTCAAACTAACTTTGTGAGATTTTTTGAGAACTGGCTAAACTCTCACTTTTCTCGAAACTTCCGTGTTATAATTGTACACAAGCCAAGTTATCTATTCGCCTAGAACATCGCTCCGCAGACAAAAGCGGTACTGCGTTCAAGTTTAATGTAAACATTCAATTTTCTCATTCAGCGTTCTCTCTTCTAGTCACTTATCGTTAGAAAAACAGCACACAGTAATCTGATTTGCCAATCTCCAATCATCAAAAGTCGTCTGAGTCGTCAGTCGTACATTCTCCTGTGCATTTTTCATTTGTGTGATGCTCATTTGATTATGCAGTTTATTGCTTGATCTTTCATTCGTTTTCTTTACAGATTCCTTTAGTCAGTCGATACATGCGTAATCTCTCCGTTATCTTTTCAATTGTCATCCCATTCAATCCATTTTTCATCCACTAATTCTTCCATCTGTCAAACCCGCTGCCGATCATCACTTCGCTCACATATTTTCATACAGTATGTGTAGAGACAGAGAATGTTTTCGCAACGTTGCTTTAAAAAATGGAAATCTACTTTACCAAATTATAGCCTTCGTCAGTCGTCTTCTTCAAGTGGTTCATCCTCACAAGAACTGGATCGAATAGCGATTTTGAACATGGACTCACGCATGTGCAAACGAGTTTTGTATTGGTGTTCGCATATTTGGTCCAACACTCAGCCTATAAGCACCACACTTAGAGTTGCTTCATAGTTGATTTTGAAAAACTTAATTTATTCCTTCGTAAATTACCACAACCTCACATAATTTTAATTTCCATAAACAAAAAGCAACCATAGGTGGGGCTCTGGCAAGAGTCCATTTTGAGATTTTCTGCTTACCTGAGCCCATTCGCTAGGTTGAGTTCGAAAATTAACATTGGAGAGCGCGAAAATGGCGAAAACGGCTATAATGCAGGACGGAAATCAGCAAGTGGGCGGGGTCCTGCCATCTGTGAAGTTACTCTCCCCTTCAAAAGCGATCTTCTCGCTTGCGCTAGCCGTCCTAACCAGAACCCGGCACGAGTCCGTTTCTAGGTTTTTTAAAAACGAAGTCCCCCCTGACTTTAATTTTACGAAGTCCCCTTTGACCCTTGCTCTCCCGACTGTTGGTGGATCCTTGCACTTAGTTCTTGATAAAACCATTTACCTGGTGTGAGCTGCGAACTTTCAGGTTAAAGGCACCGTCCACCCTAAGTTGAGGGTGTTGAGCTTTTGGCAGCATATAACAGTAGGGCCTCCTATCTAGTCAATGCCCAAGTCGCGGCGCAAAATGCCGCTTCGGAATCGAGAAAATCGATTCGGAATAGCGAAGATGCACGAGGACCCCCATCCATGCCCGCCCCTCCCCATCCATGCCCGCCCATTTGTGCGCGCTCATCCAATCATCGTTCTCGAAAGCCGGCCTGTGGGTGCTCCGGAATGGGGATTTTCGGGATTTTCGTTGATTCTTGAGTTCATATTTGGAGTCAGGGACATGAGAAGGCTATGAAACAACAAAAACCTGGAAGTCGAGAATCTGGGTGGACGGTGCCTTTAAACTCTCAAAGAAAAACCGCAAAACCCACAAAATTTTGCTTCATAAAGTCCTACATGGTCACAGAACGATCAAAATAGATCACGGGCTGAAGAAAGAAGAAGACGAAGAAAGAAAATGGAAGAAATCATCAAAACATTGAAGGGAAAGCTAGAACTGAAAATGAAAATCCAAAAGGAGAGGATGCAAAGGAGTTGATGCTGGGGCGCGGATATCTAGTAAGGCGATTTTCGAAAAAAAAGAGGATAAAAAACGACGAACAGGGGGTGATATGAAAATGTTCCTATGCTTAGGGATAGATTCTTGGCCGGGGCATCCGTCCATGCTAAAAAGATCCAAAACTTATGTGAAGTACCGAAAATATATGCTCCAGGCGATCTCAGATCGTCTGGTTGCCGTCTGGAGACGATCTAATTTTGGAAAAGGTATTACTTCGCATAAGTTTTCAACTCTTTTTACATAATCCTTCCGCAAATAATTTTCTAAGTGTACACTTCAATTTTGGTGTCATATGATTCTGTGTGCGCTGTATACAAGCAATTTGTTTGTTATAGCCTTGCTTTCAAATCGTGCGCATTTTCCGCCATAGGCCCCGGTCAGACTTCACGCGATTTGATCGTCGCGACTCAATCGCCGACATTTCCATTCATTTTCATTTCACATTCAAAAATTTCGGGCTGGAAAAGTATCACAACCGAGAAGCAAGTTGATCGGCATGGAATGATGTTGTAACAGTTGTCTCGTCGCGATTCAGTCGCGACGATCAAATCGCGTGAAGTCTGTCCGGAGCCATACACGATAGAGTATGTCAACCGTGTGACAATCTGTCCGATAAGCTTGTGCTCGACTGAATGGCGCTTATTCTTTGTGCTCGGCCCCCGACTCGTCAAAAACGAAATTTCCTTTGCTTTTTTGCTCCAAGAACGAAGTCCAGCCTGCTTTCAGACGATCTGTGCCGGTCCCTGGTCCTAACATCGCCACTGGCCAGGAGCGAACACGTGATTTGAAGGTAGAACCGAGAGGACTGCTATGGAAGTTGAGAGGATAACGAGGAAATTACAGGAGAGAGAAACCGTTTTGCGAACACCTTCTCGCCTTAGAACAAGCTGAACTTTGAACAATTGAGTAGGGTAACTGGCCGATCCGCTCCTGTTATCCTTGTCTACTTTCGAAAGCTTGATTTTACAACCGTAGGCGGGCAAACGATCTGTGGACAGCAGAAAAAAACAAATCGCTGTTTTGCCATTGAAAAAATTTTGGTTTCTTCCTCAAGCCCTCAATACGATTATCGCTTTCTCAAAGCCTTCGACAGCAAGCCTCAGCGAATTTTCTGCGAGCTCTACAAAATGGTGGTTTTTTTCAATAACCGCATAGATCACAATAGTCGCACAGGTGGGCACGACGCTCCGGGTTCATCGGTTGCTCAGTGGCGCTTCCTTCAGAGGCCCGAAGGCAGCCCAGACTGCTCTTCTTCTCCTGTTGAGCTCTCTTTTCAAGTCGTTCTCTATGTTAGTCGAGCCCGAGATACACGTAAGAAGACGTCTCCATGATAGGGTGCCTTCCAATTCCATTTCTGCATCTTCGCAAGGGGCGTTCTTCATGCACTGAGTCTTCTTCCGATTTATTCGCAATATTATCTTCTTCCCTACTTCGTTCAGTTCCTTCAGCATTGTCTCTGCTTTAGTGATACTGCAAAGAGAACGATGTCGTTCGCAAAACGAAGGCTCGATAGGAATCTTCAATCAACTCGTATGCCTCTCTCGCCCCAGTCTAGTGACTTCATCTTCTACTGCAAGGCCGCGGTGAACAGCTTCAGAGATTGTGTCGCCTTGTCGGACCCCCTTCTCAACTGGGATGGTCAGGGGCGATGCCACAACTGTGTCGTGGTACAGTCCTTATAGCAGTCGACTAACGTCTTCACGTTTGGTCCACTCCTTGATATACTAACGCGGACAGGATTGCGTTAATTTCGACGCTGTCAAAGGCTTTCTCGTAGTCGAAGGTTAGGACGAGAGACAGTCGGTACTCCCGGCAAATCTCTATGACCCTCGAAACCGTTTGGATGTGGTCCTGCAGCTGAATCCTTTGTGAAATCCAGCTTGTTCTTGAGGTTAGGCTTCATCTAGTGTCCTAGATACGTGAGCGAGGTTAATCTTCGTCAAAAACTTGTACACACACCCAGCAGGCATATTGGACAGTAATCCGAAGATCTTCCCGTTCACCCTTCTTAAAGGGAAGGACGGTTCTAGACGTTCTTCATTGGTCGAGAATCCTATCCTTTTGAAGGTAAGATATTAGGTGTGACGGAAGAATTTCGTGTAGGCGTTATCTTCCGGCTCGCAGAAATTCGATTGAAAAATGGTCTAGTCCTGGAGCCGTAAACCTATTCATGGTCTGGATCGCTGCGCGCACTTCAGTAAGTATAATTCGTGGTGGTATTTCTCCAATGGGAACAACGGGCATCGGAAGAGTATTGATAGAAGTAGTTGAGGTCCCGTCTTGATAGTGCAGCCAGCGGCACTTGGTATTTACAGAGGACCCTTCAGCACTTCTTGAGACTTCGTCTCTCTCGGCTGCTTGCAGTATCTTGGCTTTCCTGTACTTCCTGAGATCCTCCTGCAAAGCTGTTCTGCAGGCGTTGGCTATCAGTCGCTCGACGTGGGTCGCACTCTTGTCTTGCCTCAGTGATTCTCTCTCCGAGTAGTTTTTTGGTGGTCTTCGTAAGGCATTCCAAGTTCTTCTCAAAAGTAACTAGGGGCACTCTCCGCAGGCTTGCAATCCTTTCAGAAGCCGGTCGTAATCGTACGCTGAGTCCTCCTCAATGGGCTAATTACAACTTGATATGAGCTCTTCCAGCCCGTTGGTCATAAACAACTTCTTTTATTCTTGCGGCGCTGTGACAAACTTTTTTTTCTAGCTTTCGACTAAATCGTACCTTCGCTCGAAGGAAGCGGTAATCGGAGCCACTGCAGAAGGATGCAACTAGTAAGACATCAAGCAAGTTCCACCTTCGTTGGTGAGGATGTCGTCGGTCTCCGCGTGAGTCGTTCCGTTGGGCGATCCCCATGTCCAGCGGCGATGCACCTTCTTCGCGGAGATGGAATTTCCATGGAAAAGTCGTGCGGCGGAGAGAAGCCCAACAAGACGGTTGCCGTTTTCGTTCCGGAGCCCACATCCAAACTTCTCGATCCTATATTCCTCTTCTAGTCCCCGATTCATATGTGCGATAAGATGAGAATGACTCTTCCAGGGTGAAGGGGGTCACACTGGTCGCAGCCCCTCCAGGGTGAAGGGCGTTTCACTTGGTAGAGAAATCATACCTTCGATAGTCTAAAGACAGGGCGTCAAAAGTGAAGGTTGTTTGAACATCTGACGTTATAAATAGTGAAGCTTGTTTGAAGAAGATCAGAGAAGAGAAAATGACGTAAAACAGACATAAAAAGCAAAAGGAACTGCTAAAAATCGGATGAAAAATGAGGCTGCAATGAGGCTTGAAATCTCTCATTTGGCGGCTTTTCAAGGCGCAAGTTTTCACTCCAGGATCAGCAATTCGCAACATCTGGTTTTGACTTTTGATGCGTCCTTTAAATTTTTAATTTTTTTTAAAATTTTCATTGACGTCCCTGTTTCCTGGGACGTTGTCTGGATTGTTGCGCTTATTGTTCCAAGCAACATTCGTCCAAGCTGGAAAAAAATCGATGCGAAAGCAGACAGAACAAGGTAAAGAAAAACGCACTTTTACTTTTTCGCAAAAAATTCCACCATAATCGAAGAGGTAAGGGCTGGGTGATTGTCTGCATTATGAAAAGCAAGGTCTATAGAATGCACGAAAAAACCGCGTGAAAAGAGTTGAACTATTAGAAAAACAAATGATTTTCGAAAACAAGGTTTTTGCCGGATTTCTCAATCAAATCAAAACATGTGGTTCTGGGACGTTGTCAGCTTGAAAATAGAGATCAAGAGCTTCAAAATGATATATAGCTTGCTAAAATTGGGTTTGAAACAGCGAACAAAAGGGTACCAGAGCCAAATGCCCGCGTTCCACGTTTGGGGTAGCGAGGTAGCGAGCAGCGCGCGGAGACGCAGACGAGCAGCGAAGACAGACTAGAGCCGACGGGGCATTTGGCTCTTGTCGTAGATCTCCGC